TGCACAGAGCCCGCTGTGCTGTCTGCTCACCCCGGTCAAACGTCTTCAGGTGCTTCAGGTCTCCGTAGAGCTTGCTGATTTTCCCACAACCTTCTCGCAACACGCTTCCCACACGGAACACGGCAGCATGATTTTGCATTGACTGTGACACAAAATATTATTGGTAAACTTTTAATCCATACAAATAGCCACACCAAGAACTGCTTAACTTTTAGACTTAACTGTTGTTTTGCATTTCAGCTGAGTTATGTAAATTAAATAGAAAAATTAGGAAATTCAGACTATGAGTTTATTACTCTGAACTTAAAAATGAAGTTTTGACTAAAGCTTCTGAATACATGTTTCTATTACATACACATCTTAGACCCAGACACATCCTTTCCAGTGGGATACAGCCAGGCTCCAGGACTCCAAGCAGACTGCCTGTGAGGCACCATGTTCCACATGGCTCTGCGGCCAAGCAGGAAACGCTGCCTCCCCACACCCCTGGCGGGACTCCTGACGTGGGGTCTGGTGGTGAACGTGACACAAGCCAGCAGCCCTGTGGTGACACACACTAGGAGGAGCTGAGCAGAGCCCTGGTGATGGTGGGGTTGGAGCCGAAGGTCTTCAGTGAGAGGGAGGGGCGTGGGCGGCTGGGGCCCTTGGCCCATCTGGCTACTGTCTTCTGCCTATTTTCTGGAAGCTTCTTGTACACTGACTTCCTTCATAGTTTTACTGTGGCGAGAAACGTGCCATGCAGTGGACCTGAAGTTTACTGTAGGTGTGCTGGCAACCGGGCGTCAGCTTTTGCTTCCTGTGGGACAGACAGATACCACCTCCGTGATCCCTCCTCCTCCTTGCTTCTCCCTCTAACTCTGCTTTGCTCCACTGACCCTAATTGTTTCCTCCTCTACCAATGCACCTTCATGGTTTAATTTGGACATTTCATCTGATTTTCCTTAGACTCATACATAATCATGACACTGCAATGCACATCAACCTAATGGTTTTTCAGGAAGAACAAATGAAAAAAGTTGCATCTCAGAATCTAGTATTACATTCTTTCATGTCCTTTAGCAGCCACGTTTTCATATCCTTTCTTGTATTTCTGGTTACATTATTTCAAGGCATTTTAAATTTTTTGTTTAAAATGTGAATGAGACATTTACTGATGTCTGAGCAGATTACTGCTGGCACATCGCAAAGCTACTGATTTTTAGATACAAATCTCTTATCCAGACACCTTACTGCATTCTTGTTTTGTTTCTGTTAATTTTTCAGTTTATTCTCTGGGAATTTTTTGGAAATTACATCTGTAAATAATAGCAATTGTATCGATTCCTTTTCAATATTTACTGCCGAGATCAACTCGGTTGGGGAGACCCTAACCCAGCAGCACTAGGGGAATTAAAGACACACACACAGAAATATAGCACGTGGGGTGGGAAATCAGGGGTCTCACAGCCTTCAGAGCTGAGAGCCTCGAACAGAGATTTACTCACATATTTATTGACAACAAGCTTATGACTATAAGATTTACTAAAAGTATTCCTTATGGAAAACAAAGGCATGGGTCTGGCTAGTTATCTGCAGCAGGAACATGTCCTTAAGGCACAGATCGCTCACGCTACTGTTTGTGGTTTAAGAACCCCTTAAGCGGTTTTCCGCCCTGGGTAGGCCAGGTGTTCCTTGCCCTCATTCTGGTAAACCCACAACCTTCCAGCGTGGGCGTCATGGCCATCACGAGCACGTCACAGCGCTGCAGAGATTTTGTTTATGGCCAGTTTGGGGGCCAGTTTATGGCCACACTGGGGGGGCCTGTTCCCAACATGTCCCCCTTCTTTGTTTTGCAAAGCGATAAAAGCAAAGGCCGCTCTGTCACGGTGAGCTACTTCTCGCAGGCGTCAGGATCTGCAACTGCAGACTATACAGACAAACAACACAGATTTAAAGCACAATCAACACTGAAATCACAGAGCTTCCAAGTGGTTTTATCCATTTTAATGGATTACTAGCTGCTAATCTGTCTGCAGCTCCTTCAAGCACTCCAGTTCCTGGCAGTAAGGTCAGGTGTGCCTGGGATGCTTCAACTATTTGTTCTTTTAATTTTGCAACATCCAAAGACAAGACTGTAGAGTGTCCTTCTAGATGCTTTTTTATTCTTTCCCAAATTCTGATCTTATTAAAAGCTATTAATAGTTTCCACAAATCCTTATGTTTAGCTCCTATAGTGGGCCATATCATTTGAGGTTGAGATGCCACTACATCGCCACGGTTCCAGATAATAGGAACTCTTGCCGTATTTCTTACCATTTCTACCATCTGACCGTTGTGTTCAGACCAGCTGAACACAATGTGGCCGGGGCACGCAGACTGAGACGTGCAATTCAAGCTACACATCCCCTTAGGGGACCAATCAATAATGATTCCATAGGAATCATTGTGCAGCACCTCTGCCTATTTTGCAAAGCAATCTTCCCAAATAAGCATGTTCATTTTCTCTGAGCGGGTCCAATCCTGTTTACAAATAGGTTTTTGTGGGTGGTACGCCCCAATTATAGGAGATTTATTAAGCATGTGTAACTGTGTCATAGAGTGATTACATCCAGGCACTACTGCCAGCCAAGATTGATAAATATGCCCAATAAGTACAGTTGTTCTCTGTGTCAGCCCTGGCTGAAGGAATACTCACAGCAATGGTGATCACCGCTGTCACAGCTACCATTAAATTACTCATTGTGACTGGCTGTCCCGCTTTCCTCAGGGTTTCTTCCGCCATCTGTGACGGTTTCTTGATCTGTCCCGAGGTGGGTGGCTGTGTTTGACAGGTGTTGCTCATGACAGTTGGGGTCCTCCTCAGTGTCAGTCTCGACATGGCTGCAACAAGGGGGTCCTCAGGATCCTCCCAGAATCTCTTCCTCAGCATCGGCTCATGATAAGGTTTCAAGTGTCTTGATGGTTCAGTCCTGGAGAAACAGAAGCATAACCTCTACTCCAAGTTACTATTTTACCTATTTCCCAACTTTTGGTTATCAGGTCTCTCCACCAAGCCAGTCGTTCTGCTTCCGTCTTTGCGGCTGGTTTCTGTAGATGCTGTTCAGCTGCTGATAACATCTGGCCTTTAGGCAGGCTCAAAACATTTAAAGTTAATACTGTGATTCAGTTGCATATGGGGTGTCCCGTAGTCCCTGTTTTCCACCCTCTGCTTTTGCAACTGCTGTTTCAGGGAGAGATTCATTCTTTCCACTATGGCTTGTCCTTGAGAATTACATGGGATACCAGTAACATGTTTAATATTCCATGTAGAGAAAAATGTAGCTAGAGCTTGAGAATTGGGCTCCAATCCTTGAGAATTAACTCCTCCTGTAAAAGATGAGGAATGTACCATTTAGCAAGTTGGGCATCGTTGGTAATAGCTTTAGCTTCTTTCTGGGTAATGCTGTATCTGCATTTGAGACCAGAGGCATTAACGTGGGTTACATTGTGAAAGTGTCTGGCATTAGATATTGCAGTAGCAACTAGGCGATCGGCCATTTGATTCCCTGCAGTCAAAGGTCCTGGAAGAGGTGTATGAGCCCTAATGTGAGTGATGTAAAAAGGATGCGTTCTACTCCTAACTGCTGTTTGCAATTGGGTAAATAAAGTCATCAGTTGTTCATCTGTATGAAATCGTAACTGAGAATTTTCAATTAACTGTGTGGAGTGAACCACGTATGAAAAATCAGAAATCACATTAATAGGCATATTAAAAGCAGTCACTACCTCAATTACAGATACAAGCTCCTCTTTTTGAGCTGAAGTATAGGGCATCTGGAAAACCTTACCTTTCGAGCCAGAATAAGAAGCTTTACCATTACTAGACTCATCTGTAAAAACATTCTCAGCACCTTCAATTGGTTTAAATTTAGTTATTTTAGGGAGAATCCAATTAGTTAATTTCAAAAATTGAAAGTTTCATCTTAGGAAAATGATTATCGAGAATACCCACAAAGTCAGCTAAATGGGTTTGCCAAGTAAGACTATTTGCAAAATCTTGCTGTATTTGTGCCTAAATGAGAGGGACAATAATTTTTCCAGGATCATATCCATGTAATTTAACAATCCGAGTTCTCCCATTTCCTATCACAGTAGCGATTTGATCCAAATGAGGGGTCAGAGTCCGTGAATTAGGATGTGGAGGGAAAGCCGCTCTACCCCGCAGATCGGGACGCGGGGGGCGGTGGGGGAAGCCGCTCTACGCCACGGATTGGGACGCGGGGGAAAGCCCCTCTACGTTGTGGATCAGGGTGCCGGGGGAAAGCCGCTCTACGCCGTGAATTGAGGATGCGGGGGAAAGCCGCTCTACACCGTGGATCAGGACGCGGAGGGAAAAGCCGCTCTACAAGATCTTGCTGTTCGACGCTAACACCAGCAGGTGAACGCGAGTTGGAAAAATGAGCAAATCTAGAGTCTTCTCTGGATCTATTCTATTTATTTGAGCTTTATGGCCTTGCTTTTCGATTAGCTGCAGCTCTGCCTCAGCTTCTTTCGTTAATTGCCGAGGGCTAGTGTGACTAGGATCTCCTCTAAGGATAGAACATAGATTACTCATGGCATAGGTAGGAATGCCAAGAGCAGGTCGTATCCTGTTAATGTCCCCTAGTAATTTTTGAAAGTCACTTAATGTTTTCAATTGATCCCTACGTATGGCTACTTTCTGTGGCACAATGGTTGTGTCATTTACTAAGGTCCCCAAGTAGGAGTAAGGAGTAGTAATCTGAATTTTGTCAGGACCTGTAATTAAACCAGCACCAGAAATTGAATTTTGCAAGTGATCATAACATTGGAGTAATATTTCTCAAGTGGGGGAAGTATATCGTCCATATAATGAATAATGTAACACTGTGAAAATTTTTTAGGAGTAGGTTCAATTGCTTGCCCTACATAAGTCTGGCAAATTGTTGGACTGTTTAACCTGACTTGTGGCAACACTTTCCAATGAAAACGCTTAGCAGGCTGCAGGTTGTTTATTGCAGGAATTGTAAATGGAAACCATTCACAGTCTTGCTCAGCGAAGGGGATAGTAAAGAAACAGTCTTTTAATAAAGCTATGACTATTAAAGCCCAATTTTTTGGAATCATAGCAGGAGAAGGCAATCCTGGCTGTCATGTCCCCATAGGTTGTATAACTGAATTAATGGATCTTGAGTCAGTTAACATTCTCCATTTACCCAATTTTTTTCTTAATTACAAAAACTGGAGAATTACAAGGGGAAAACGTTGGAGCTATGTGTCCCTTTTCTAATTGTTCATTAACTAAGTCCTCTAAAGCCTCCAGTTTCTCTTTACTTAGCGGCCATTGTTCTATTCAAACTGGCTTCTCTGTTAACCATTTTAAAGGTATAGGTTCTGGTGGCTTAACAATGGTCGCCATCAAAAATGATACCCTAAACCTTGGCGGGAACTTTGTCTTCCCGCTTCAAGCAGTTCTTTCAAAGCTTGGAAATGTTTTCCTAGTCCCATACCAGGGACATACCCCATTTCATGTATCATATGCTGACTTTGTGGGCTATATAATTGTTCTGGAATTAGAACTTGTGCTCCCCGTTGTTGTAATAAATCTCTTCCCCATAAATTTATAGGTACAGAAGCTATAATTGGTTGAGTAGTCCCAGGTTGTCCACTGGGCCCTTCACAATGTAAAATATAACTACTTTGATATACTTCAGGGGCTTTACCAACTCCAACTATGTTAAAGTGAGCAGGTTGAATTGGTCACGCGGACGGCCAGGGCTGTAGAGAAATGATTGAAATGTCTGCTCCTGTACCTACCAAACCTTTAAATTTCTTTCCCTGAATAGTTATTTCACAGGTAGGACGTTTAACAGTAATTTGATTCACCCAAAAAGCTGCTCTGCCTTGTTTATTTGTGCTTCCAAATCCTCCTGTTCATTTAGTTTCACTTCTCCCCGTTCCCACATACGGCACAATCAGGAGCTGTGCTATGCGCTCTCGTGGCTCTGCTTTCCAGGGAACAGAAGTAGATATAACAATTTGAATTTCCCCATTGTAATCCGAATCAATGACTCCTGCATGTATTTGTACCCCTTTTAAATTTAAACTAAATCTTTCTAAAAGGAATCCTATCGTCCCCACTGGCAAGCGTCCACAGACTCCTGTTGGGACCTTTTGCAGGGGCTCCCCAGGCAGAAGGCTCACAGCTATTGCGCAGCATAAATCTACTGCGGCACTACCGGCTGTGGTGGGGGACAGACATTGTACAGGGGTGAAGGAGTGGCCTGAGCCGGAAATGCCCTGGTTTGGAACGGAGCCCAGGACGGGCTCCTCATGGCATTTCCCAAAATTGGGTTCCCATCTTTATCAAACTTAGAGTGAGTGATTAGCCCAATGTTTTCCTTTGTACATTTTGGACATATTTCAGGCTCTGCAGTTTTCTTTTTTCCCCTATCTGGCAGCCTGATTCGCTGATTTTTTCTACTTTCTTGTTTAGTATGACCATGCTTCCCACAGTTAAAACAAGCTCCAGAGAACAGAGGATTTCCTTTATCCACTCTCAGTCCCGTCACTGCCTGTGCCAACAATGTAGCTTTAGCTTTATTACCTCCTATACCATCACAGGCCTTGATATAATCAACTAAGTGTGCTTTCTCTCTAATAGGTCGCAGAGCAGCCTGGCAGCCGGGATTAGCATCGTCGAAAGCTAATAATCGCAAAACTATACCCTGAGCAGCCAAAACTGCAATCACCTTTTTAAGAGAGTCCTATAACTGAGCTATAAAATCTGCATACGATTCTTTTGGTCCCTGTTTTAACTGCACTAAAGGAAGGGTACTGTTCTCCACCTGAAGTGATTTTTTCCCAAGCTCTAATGCACACTCCTCTAAGCGGCTCTATGGCATCATCCTGCATGACCACTTGTACATCTAAACCAGCCCAGCTGCGACCCCTAAAAGTTGGTCTGCAGTCATATTAATTTGAGGTTGGGCCTGGGCGTTGCAAACAGCCTGAATGGAAACTTCATCTGCCTACCAAGTTTTAAATTGTAAGAACTGAGCAGGAGTTAGACAAGCTCGAGTAGGAGCGTCCCAGTCAGTAGGAATCATCCGACTGGAAACAGCAACATTCTTTACCAGTCCCATTACAAAAGGAGAACCTGGCCCATGTTGATTGACAGCCTGTTTAAACTCTTTAAGTAATTTAAAGGGAAAGGCTCAAATGTAGCTAAAATATTTCCCTGTTGACCTGTGGGGTGTGTTCTAACAGGGAACTGACAAGCTTCTGTATCACCCTCTCTTCTAACTTGCTGAATTCCTGCCTGAATAGAACTGAGAGCGGTCGCTCGAGGCGCTGCTCGAACAGTCACTGGAGCAACTACTTTTCGCCCAGTGTCCTCCGGAAAACAAAGATCTGGAGGGTCAGGCCACTCTTTTTCTTCAAAATAAGGAGGGGGTACAGAAGGGTAGGGATGAACCTCTCCCTCCTTTGCCACTTTAGCTTTAGCTGGCAAACAAGCCTGCTCTGTTACTTCTTCTGTTACTTCGTTATACTCTCCTTCCCCCTTATTATTAGCGTGAAAAGGTTCCAAGGTAACGAACCAGAGCCCACACTTGTCCCATTCTTACCATGATGCTTCCGAGCTCCCCTTCTTATTCACCATGGGGATGGCTTAAGAGTACTCGGGTGTCCTCTAGCTTAGTTGCATGTTCTCCGTCGCTCCAGTGACCCTTTGACCTGGGTCTGAACCCCACATATGGGCGCTGCTTGCTGAGACTAGCTTGGTCGTGGAGACCCTAACCCAGCAGCGCTAGAGGAATTAAAGACACACACACAGAAATATAGCGCATGGGGTGGGAAATCGGGGGTCTCACAGCCTTCAGAGCTGAGAGCCTCGAACAGAGGTTTACCCACATATTTACTGACAACAAGCCAGTCATAAGATTTACTAAAAGTATTCCTTACGGGAAACAAAGGGATGGGTCTGGCTAGTTATCTGCAGCAGGAACACGTCCTTAAGCACAGATCGCTCATGCTACTGTTTGTGGTTTAAGAAACACTTAAGCGGTTTTCTGCCCTGGGTGGGCCAGGTGTTCCTTGCCCTCATTCCAGTAAACTGACAGCCTTCCAGCGTGGGCGTCATGGCCATCACGAGCATGTCACAGTGCTGCAGAGATTTTGTTTATGGCCAGTTTTAGGGCCAGTTTATGGCCAGATTTGGGGGCCTGTTCCCAACAATTTATCTCATTTCTTTTTTTGATTCTTACTATTAATAGCCAGAGTCAGCAGAAAAATCCCTTCCCCCAACGAAACGCATTTCCACAAGCACAGGAAGCTGTTTGTTCAGTGCTGACTCCAGCATCTCACGGAGGCTGCGATACAGCAGGCACCAAGACACACCTTGTTTGGTGAGAATGCTTCTAGTATTCTCACTTCAAACTGTCTCACAGATTTGCCATTTCTGTATCCTAAGGCATGTTCCCATTCTCTAATGCAATGGTTCCTTCTCTCACAGCTGGCCTCCAACCCTACAAAAGTACTGCAGGGCATCCCTTAGCCTTCTGTGCCTTAGTCACACTGTTTTCACCGTTCCACAAAGCCTCCTTCAAGCCCAGCCTCACTTGAAGACCGAAGGGCACAGGCCTCTGAAAATGTCAGCAGGGAACCTGTTCTCTTATGTCTTAACACCATATGCCTTTCAGAATAGGACTAAAGCAATGGACTTCTTTTTAGAAAATATGCAGAAATTCTTGCAAATAGTAGACAAGAGATCTCATTCATGGACAAGAATCCTTGTTATTAGAGGTATTCAGTTTCTTAGACTGACTATATATCAAGTTCTCCACAGCTCTCTGTGGCTAATGGCTGCCATACTGGATGGCAAACACTCGGAACATTTCCATCGTCACAGACAGTCCTACTGGACCGACTCCCAGCAGCACAGGCCGCATACATCAGTTTCCACCTGCCGCCCACTCTCCCTCTCTTCTGAGTATATTCAGGGGCAGCCACAGGCCCAGCTTAAAGACATTTCCAAGCTGCTGGAAGCCAGGCATGATGACATGATCAATATGTGGGCCTGAGATGTAAGCACCAGTATTATGTTGAACTCCAGGAAACCTGCGAAGAGAAAGCTGCCCTGCTGGGGACTGAGCTTCTCCGGCAGTCCTGCTGCTCCCTCTCCTCCACGCTGTGACTCATCCATGACAGCCTGCGACGGTCAGGGCACAGAGGTCACGCCCAAGCACACACGAGTGAACCAGAGAAGGCTGTCCTGGATGCTAAGCAGTCACTAATTCTGCCCTAGCCTGCTGACCTTCTATGTGGAAAAGTGCACTTCTGTATAGTTCAGGCCTCCTGGTCTCTTTCATATTCTTGATATGGTGAGGAGTACGTCCTACTGCTGTTTACCTCGATACTGGTGCAGCCTCGTATGTTTACCGCAGCACTAGTCACAATAGCAAAGTCATGGAATCAACCTAAGTGCCCATCAACGGATGACCAGACAAAGAAAATGTGGCACATAAACACCATGAAATACTCAGCCATAAAAAAATAACGCAATCATGTCTTCTACAGCCACGTGGATGGAACAGGAGGTCACTATCCTAAGTGACTCAGAAGGTCAAGTGTCACATTCTCACTTGGAAGTGGAAGCTGAACGGTGAGTACACGTGGCCACACGGAGTGGACTAACAGAGACTGGGGGCTCCAAAAAGTGGGAGGGGTGGCGATGAGCAATTATCTGCTGGGTACAACATACACGACTTGGGTGACGTGAAAAGCCCAGACTCCACCACCTCACGGTACATCCACACAAACTGCACCTGCATCCCCCTAAATCTATTTTTAAAAAAACAAAACCAGTGCAGGGCCAGGTATGCAGCCGGCCTGCTCACTCCAGAGCGAGTCCAGGCTCTTACCTTCTGCATGCTGAGTCGAAGTTCCGACGTTCTTATGCTTCCGTCAGCAAATCTCAATTTGTCAAGATTCATGACAGATTCTTCCCCAGCATTTGGTTTAATTGGAGGGACTTTATCTCCTAAAACAAAAAAGCTAGAAATTTAACTTTCAAAACCGTGTTCTAAAACCAAAAAAAGGAATTTAGTAATGACCAACAAAAATACTGTAGCACAGCCGCCTCAGACTTGGAAACTCGCGAAAGTCTTCCTCAGCTAACACACTGCCAGCCCATCCCTACATCTGAGCCATCTGGTTGAGTTGGGGCCATTAAAGAACATACATAAATGCAAAATTGTTGCACAAATAGATACTCCATTAACTTATCTTAGAGTGAATAAACTAGCAAATCATCTCTAAATTAAAATAAAATTAAAATGAAGGTGCCAGGTGCGGTAGCCTTCTCCGCCTGAACGATCCCGCACTTAGGAGGCCGAATAGGTGGAATCAACTTAGAGGTCAGCTGAGTTCAAAGCAGCAGCCTGGCCAAACATGGCCAAAACCCTCATTTCTAGACTAAAAACACAAAAATGACCTGGGTAGGTGGGCACGGTGGCCCCTATAATCCCACGGCTACTCGGGGAGCTGACAGGCACGAGAAACCTGCCTTGAACCTGAAAAAGGTAAGGTTGCAGTGAGCTGAGATCGCGCCACTACACTCCAGCCTGCACACAGACAGAGTGAGACCTTGTCTTTAAAAAAAAAAAGTATACAAATTTATACTATTAAGTATATACCTAAATGTTGTGTATATAACGGATAAGTCGTATATAAGGGAAAAAAAGGATACCTTCCTAGATGGTGGTCCGTAGACGGGGCCGCCACCACCGTCTTCGCATAAAGAGGAAGGAACGGTGGCGCTTGTGTGCTTAGAAAGTCACCTGCTGACTTGGACTCTTGTGTGCCTCACCCCCTACACTTCAAGATTTGCAATTTTATTTTTTTGAGATGGAATTTTGCCTCTGTACCTCAGGCCGGAGTGCAACTGCACCATCTCGGCATCACTGCAACCTCCACCGCTCCTGCCGTCAGTCTCCCGGAGTAAGCTGGGACTACAGGAGTATGCCACCATACCTGGCTAATTTTTGTATTTTCAGTAGAGATGGGGTTTCACCATGTTGACCAGGCTGGTCTCAAACTCCTGACCTCAGGTGATCCACCTGCCTCGGCTTTCCAAACTACTGGGATCACAAGTGTGAGCCAATGTGCACAGCCGAGATTTGCAACTCTTGTGTTTCTAAGATGTCTTGAAAAAAGTTTTAAAGTTCTTTTTATAACATTATATATATTTTCTTCAACAGGTAATACATGCAGAAGGTAGGAGGTATGAAATGCAGGAGTCAAACAGGCCCCGCCCCGCCCACCGCCCACAAATTAGGTGGGGCGTGTGGGCTTCAACCAGTGTAGTTTCCAGCTACTTTGAGAGGCTGAGGTTGGGAGGATTCCTGGGCCTTGACCGGCGCGACCCCCTGGGGTTGGCAGTGGCGAGAATCACACCACTGCATCCAGCCTGAGCAACAGGAGGAAGGAGACACTGTCTCAAAGAAAAGAAAAGAATTATAGAAGTTCCACTGAAAGAAAAGTCAATTTG